AAATTTTGAAACCATGAATCGATCAATGTTAGACCACCATTAGAAACCTGGGAGCACGGGACGGCCGTCGAGTCCTAGTATGGGACTCATCGGCAGTGCGCATTCACGACTCCTGCATCGCGCAGGATTCGAACCAAGGACCTTCAGTTTCAGAATTTGTAACTTAATAATCTTCACAAACCCGTAATGCAATAACCTGTGACCACAAGCGACTAGCTCAGTAAGGAGTCTTTTTCGAGTTCTGGTGGGAAGACGTGACCAGTGAAGTTCAACCTGTTCGCTTGTAGACAGTAACTACCGAAGACTGTGTATGAGGTTGTGCTACTCCGTGAATTGATCGAAGTTAGACATTTACACCGTTAGATACCGACTCAGTGGTACAGAGGTTAGTCGTTCTCGAGCAAGATCGAAGGTCCTGCATTTGAATCCTACGAGCTGCAGGAGTTGTGGACGCGCACTGCTAATGAGTCCCATACCAGGACGAAACGGCCATCTTGTGCTTCCAGGTTCCTAATGTTGGTCTAACATTGATCGATTCATAGTTTTAAAAAAATGTGTAACTTAACAATCTTCACAACCCCGTAATATATATATATATATATATATATATATACTGAAATATAAACAAATAGTGAACATAATCCGTCTACGTTACAATATAAATTATTTTCTTAAAATATTTGTAAAATATCATGTCTATTTATTATAATCCTGTTATTTTTTTGTAGTTATGTTGTAGACAGATTGACATACTATGAATAAACTTGATTTTACATAGAGACAGACTGTAGAAGAAATCAAATGTTCTATACAGCATATCAAATATTTTTTTCAAACGAAACAGAGAAAAGATTTCAGTCAATCGGTATTTTTACTGATTTTTGAATTGTTAACTAGGTTATTCTAAAGCGAAACTTTTACAAAGTTCACAATCGATAAAAACATGTGAAAGTTGAATAGCTGATTTAATGGAAACTGCATTGTCTTTTTTTGTTGAAATTGGGTTTTGCAGTGCTACCTAAAACTAGTAGTGTTTAATCCTATTTGGAACTGACTAAATGATGTCCACGAGGAAATTTAAACGCATTACGTTTTGCTTTAATCAACAACATAATATCCGATAAGCTTATATAGCTATGTACTCACTAGTTTATTCAATAGCTGCCGATTTTAATTCAGATATGAAACGAAATATACTAGATTAACGTCTCAGTGTTAACATCAATACCAGAGTGTCGATATTTTGTAGTTGACGAATTCTAAATAACAAGAAGTGCATTCCACTGCAGCTCAATATCCAACGTTAATAAAAAAATTCGTGACCAAACAGTAATAACAAGGCCTCTCACTCTAGATTCAAGTATGGGCTGATTAGAAGCAGTGTTCACTATCAACAACGAGGTAAATATCAACTCTTCTTAAGATGGTGGAGAGGGTTTGTAGCTCAGGTGGATGATTGTGGTAGTGGTGTTTGGTTCTCTGAGCTGGATTTTTTGGTTGTGGAGCTTCCATGATTATTCTTCTGAACAACAACATCATCAGCACAAACTTCAGATAGAATTAGTGAAGTATTCGGATTTCTCCACGTTTGACCTGTAGCTTGTTCTGTTAACCTCGATCTTGATTGTTTGCTGTTGACCTTAAACCTGTCGTTGTTTGAACCTTTATTTTGATTGTATCCTCCTTTTGATTCGTTTCTTGATCCTATGTCACCCAGTATTTTTCTGATTGGTTAATAAATTGGGTCAATGTCGATGTGTTGTTTGTTGATTGCTGATTGACCTGAGTGCCAAGCTTCTAAAAATTCCCAGTGTTGTTTGTCCTCCCCCTACTGGATGGGGGGAGAGGTTTAAGGTCAACAGCAACCAATCAACTGATGGAGGTTAGCAGAACAAGCTACAGGTTAAACGTGGAGAAATTCAAATACTTCACTTCTTCTATATGAAGTTTGTGCTGATGATGTTGTTGTTCAGAAGAATAATCATGGAAGCTCCACAACCAAAATATCCAGCTTAGAGAACCGAACACCACTACCACAACCCTTCTTAATTAAAGTCATTTATACTGTATGCATTTTGATTAAAATTTCACAAGCCACAAACTGTGTTTACGATATAGCAAAAAATGCTGTCAAGTTAAATAAGCAGATTATTGTCCAACTTCATATGAGTTGATGAAATATTGAATGACATCAATTAAACATGATAGTTAAAATGAGACTAGAAAGAAAAAACATTACTCTAAATATTCAATGAACCTACCTCATAGCATAATATTTGTGAAGCTGTTACTGAAGAAATGAATAATGCATGAAATGCAAATGCCAGATCATTTGGTAACACCGGTACTGAACCCAATGGATTTCTTTTTAAATATTGTTCCTTTAAAATAATATAATATCAATCAGTCAGTCAATGCACAAAAATATAAAATAACAGAATTATAAAAATAATAATTGAATGAAAATAAAATTTCATCACATTTGTTTTTTAAAAAAACATGGAGAATATTGAATTTAGTTCAACGAGTTGAGATCAAATTTTTTTACTTAATGAACAATAGCTTATCGCGTTGAAATCATCAATCAATCATTGTTAGACAATCAGTAGAAAGTTGGAAGCAATGGACGGCCGCCAAATCCTAGTATGCAACTCATCAGCAGTGCGCATCCACGACTCATGCACCTTGCAGGATTCGAACCCAGGACCTTCGGTGTTGAGCGCGAATGCCTAACCTATGGACCACCTGGCCGACATCCAGTGGTGTCAATGTCTAACTCTGATCAATCTACAGATTTTGCGCGATCTCACCCATTTGTCTTTGGTATTCACCATCTACACCTGACAGGGTTGAACTCTACTGGTCATGTTTTCTCACAACAACTGCGAAGCTAGTCGCTAGTCAGTAACAATGATTTCACCGTGTAAAAACACTGATCTCCATGACTCTGGTTGAGAAAAAATATATCATCATCTTTTATATAATTTATGACTGTACCGAATCAATATTTATTGTAAGAAGTATTAATTGAAAACAGACCAAAAGCAACAAAGTTTGTAGAATCTATGGTTACAAGGGAGCGGAGATTTTACAAGTTCAATTGGTAAACACATTTTCAATAGTGGACATGTCGTGGATGCAAGTAGTGCATTTAAAATAATTAATCGACAAAACACACCAAGTTTACTTCACTTAATGGAAGCAATTGCTATCAAACGTTCTCAACCTTATCTATGTATATTGAAGAACACTGTGATCAGCGTTTCCCACCATGGTGATTAGATATTTAGCTAAAAATGTTTATTTATCTTAACTGGTAATGTTTTTACTTAACACTATCCACAGGCTTCATCTTAATTCTATCATTCTTTCGTCTTCAAATATTCACCTCTTATATAATCTTAGTGATGTCAACATCATACGGAATTCATATGATGGATTGAACTTCAAAATCTTGCACGGAGGACAGCTGACACTCGTTCGAGGTGAAGACTGGATTATGAAGACGTCAAAATCTGGAGGTAAGCACGGTATCCAGTGGCTCTTCTATCGCACACTCAACAACAAAGGCAAGAGAAGACGACCAGTGTAGCAGCAGCCTCTGCAGCAGCAAGTCTCAACATACATAAAAGAAAAAGCGAAATTCTCCGACGCAGCACAACATGCACCAATCAAATCACTCTTGATGGAGATGCCTTGGAGGACGTTAACACCTTCACATATCCGGGCAGCATCATCGACGAAAAAGATGGATCCGATGCAGTTATGAGGGCGCGGATTGGTAAAGCAAGGGCTGCATTTCTACAGTTGAAAAATATCTGGAACTCCGAACAACTTTCAACCAAAACCAAAATCAGGATTTTCAATACAAATGTGAAGACAGTTCTACTGTATGGAGAGGAAACATGGAGAACTACCAAAGCCATCATCCAGAAGATACAAGTGTTTATTAACAGTTGTCTACGCAAAATACTTCGTATTCGTTGGCCAGACACCATCAGCAACAACGAACTGTGGGAGAAAAAAAGCCAGATTCCAGTGGAGGAGGAAATCAGGAAGAAGCGGTGGAAGTGGATAGGACACACACTACGAAAAGCATCTAACTGCGTCACGAGACAAGCCCTCACATGGAACCCTGAAGGCAAATGGAAAAGAGGAAGGCCAAGGAACACATTACGCCGAGAAATAGAGAAAGAGATGAGAAGAATGAACAAACATTGGACAGAACTGGAGAGGGAAGCCCAGGACAGAGTTGGTTGTAGAAAACTGTTGGGCGGCCTATGCTCCATTTGGGGGTATCAGGCGTACGTAAGTAAGTAAGATGTTCAAACATCTGTTTATTCTATCGTGTTGAGCGATTATCAAAGCAGTTCTTAGTTTCATTGCAATCACATTTATTTACGTATTCTCTTTCATTTACATCATATCACCTCTTTCCGATTGGCCTTCAGCACTCCAGATTAGGATTCACCTCGTGATGCGTATAGGTGATTCCCTTAATGTGTGTCCTATCAACCTTCAGAGCTTTTGCTTATTTTCTTTCTCAGCTAAAATCTGCTTTGTTCTCTTTCCATAAACCTCTCAAACTAAACTATTCTTACCATTTCTTAATAATTGTATTATCAAATGTAATTTAAGGTTGTATGCAACTAACGAGAAATCATGAAATAGAATGGATTAGTTCTATTTTAATAAACATTTTTGCTCTTGCTTTGTCCAACTGTATCAAGGGATACAGTTCTTTGAAATTATGAATTGTTATTACTTTTAAAACTGTTGCACAACTTACATTCGATTGCTTAGAATTCTTTAAGTTAATAATTTATAGTTACTTTTTTTCTAATTATACAACGTATTTTTTTATTTTATCAAGGATTGTTTTCATACTTGACAAATGAAAATATTTTATTGATTCTTTAAAACTTTGTTCCATGACACGATACATGGCTATTTTGGTGTACATTGAAAAATCACTTATAAGTAAGTTTCATGCGACTTAAATAAGCGATAGCAACGACAACAAAGAGTAGAAAATGTTTCACGACCGAAGGCCCTGGGTTCAAATCCTGAGAGTCGTGGATGCGTACTGCTGATGAGTCCCACAACAGGATTTGACGGCCATCCAATGCTTCCGAGTCTCTACTGATGGTCTAACAATGATTGATTGATGATTCCAAATAATAATATTTGTCTTTCTTAAAATATTCATAATTATTCATGCTCAAAACTGAATAAAAGCACCCAGCTGTGTAATAATAGAGTTTACAAAATATCAACTATGAGCCATAGACAAGCATTGGCAATGGATGACAGTTCTGTAATATCATGAAACAAATGACGTTCGGATGTGTACATCACTGAATGATATTCGAATAAGTAAAGATCAAAAGTAAACCACATGAACTGAAAGTCTAGAATTAAATCTAGTGTTTACACAGATAGTTGATAGATAATTATCTAAGTGTTCTGTTTGTGATCTCAATGATAAAACATCACAGAAAATAACTTTGCCAGTATTAAACAGAAACAAAAAAAAAGTATATAAATAGCATTTACAAAACAACAACCATATATAACATAAGACAATCAAACTGATATTACAAACCTGAATAAGTGGAATCCAATATAAACCAATATTATAAATGCTATAGAATAAAAATCCAACCACATTCAATACAGCAAAGTCAAAATTGAATCCAACTACACTGAAACAGTGGAAATAATAATAATAATACTGTATACCATAATTTTACTACATACTATCAGGTAAAGAAAAATGATATCAAAATACTTTATGTATTGTATGAGATAGATAGATCCACGTATTCAAGAAACAATCAATCATAGAATTCATAATGATAGACGGTGAACTAGCAATTTATTAATACTTTCCACCAGTTGGTTGTAGAAATTTATTTATATGAATTGTGAATTCAATAAATCCTAGATTCTTAGAAAATGAAACATTTTAATATACATTTGGCAGGCAGACAATCAATAGGTCACTTATTTTGATTTATAACAGAACTAACTGGATAACATCTTGTAGGACACGTGCTTCAAACTATTTTAAACTTATCAGCTGATTGTCTTAAATTCCGGTGAACGCATATGAGTATGCATAAATGCACTTAAGGAATATACTCCATAAAATATCATTTATCTATATTCGTCAATTTCTTTAGCTGAATAAGATTCATAAAAAAAATTGTCAAATATACCTTTTGTAGAAAGTAATTCATGGGATTAAAAGTTTCTAATGTATATCTTTCTTCAGTGTATATCCAATTTTTAAAAAAATAAAGGATGTTAAATGTAATTGGGTTTGACTTTTTATTAGATATGAGTAACAATCTTTCACTCACAATCCAGTTGAAGTTAAGTTTAACTTCACTGGGAAACACATACACAATAATGACAAAATTAAATTTATTTTATAAGATAATTGAACTATTATTTCACCTTCCAGTGATCAATATTGTCATCATACTTAGTCATCAACTAGAATCAGAAATACTTTGTTCATATTGTGTATGATTTTAAATTCTCTTGTTTAAGAAATTTTTAAATTTGAAATAAATAGCACTATTCAAAGGCATGCACAAAACTGACTACTACTAACTAAACAGTGAATTCTATACAGAAGTCATTTTTTAAATAACCTGTGTACAAAAATAAGTATAATTATTATTATGTTCGTTACTAAGTATGCTTGAGGCTATTACGAGTTAACCTTAGTCGATAAACGCGAACGAGACATTTACCAGCGTCCAGGTAGGCTACCTTGAATCCAAACGGTATGACAGAAAGAAGTCTTGGTAAGCGTAGAAAGTAAATTCTACAAATACCCAGCAATCACAGTACAATCAAGCACACAACTCTCGTTTATTTATACATCACAGAAACGTCCTTAGGGACAGTCACAAAAACAGCACACTAAAATACACAGCAGTCAGTCACAGCCAAGGATTTTCCCGGTGGGAAATGAAATCTCAAGGTCAACTGATCAGCCTATGCTGTCAAACGTGAAAACCGAAATAAGGCATTTATCAAGAGAATTTTGGGGATCTAACATCCCCAACAATTGTATAGAACCTATCAATTACCTCTTTCGTTTACAGTTTAAAATTAATTGAGGATAGAATGAAACTGTCCAAGCGGCAAAGTAAAGCCAACCAATCACAATCTGTAGTATATTTAACCAACGATAATGCACCACAATCACAGGAAAAATAGGTACGCCCGCGCTAAAAAAGAATTCAAATTTATTTCAGTCAGTTAATGTAGACTGATATGATACTTGCTTTTTTTATCTTTTTAAACACTTTATAACTTTTGTAAAATAAAAAATTTCTATTTTTTTATTTCATATAATTACCAACTGATGTTATAAATAGAACATAGACATGAACTTAAAACAAACGCGACAAATTACTATCTACTTTTTAGCCAGTCACAAAATAGCCTTCTTTAATGAACATCTTATGCAAAATAAGACATCATTACTCTAAAATCCAAACATATTTTACATTATTAAGTTATTTTACAAGTCACGCTACCTGGGTTGTGAGTCAAAACAACAATGGAAGACCAAACCATTCGTGTGGATATTAATTGACTAGCTTATCGATTCCGTATAAGAACTCAAAAATATTTTCAAGAATTGCCATATTGATCATAGTTAATAACGTGTATTTGCAGTTAAGGCAATGATTTTATATCACAAAACTGACATTAGCTAAGATCCAACAATGCTTTATAACTGTGTGAATGTATACACTTGTAAGATCCATTTTTGGGGGCTTTGTTTGTGAAAATCCCTCCATGTATACTTTTGTAATATGTCCTTACTGATCACGATTAAGTATACACATAAAAGATTGAGTATTTGATACATTTGACATCATAAATTTTAGCAAAAAATAGCATTTTGCTTTCGTTCTGAGCATTATAAGATAACATTGTTGCTGCTTGCTTAATAAGAATTTTGAATTTAGAAAAAATCGTTTTTACAACTGATCTAACAGTTTTGGTTAAATAATACTGGAACAAGTCCTCCTAAACCTGACAGAAGTCAGTTAACTTTTATTTCAATAAATTGGAAAAGGCACTTTTAAATCAATTCAATGTGGTTTAAAGCAGTTACGCAAACAATTAAACCGTACTCAAACTCTTAGTTATTTAATTCAACATTATTACTATTAATATTTAGCATTTATTATTCAGCCAGTAGAAATCACTGAACTGAGTTTGTAATATTTCACATTCTTTGATATTCTGCATCTGATACCGGATAAATTGAGGTATATTCGCAACCATAATAGCTCAATTACTTCTGTTTTTTTCAGTACCATCGGTAGACGTTTAGATTAAAATCGCTGATATAAAATTTGGCTTTTACAAAGTGATGCACCAAGTTTCTTAGTAAAAAGGGTCCGCAAAAGTCTCATTATAGATTCATTTTAACTTTTATATATCTACTAACATTTGATTATGGCCTTATGTGAACCAACTGAGTACAGAGTATAGATTGAATTATTATGTTGCGTTTTACAAATTTCACCATATAAAAAGACTATAAAGATTTGTTTTTGCATCACAGTATTCTATAAGAGCCTTGAAATATACTCAGTCGTTTTTTAAGCGCACCCAAACATATTTGCTAAATGATTTACCATACTTAAATATTATACACTAATGCGGTTGTATCAGGTTGTAACCATTTTACCTTAATATTCATTTTGAATATAATGATTAATCCAAATTTCCACAAAGTGAATATCCGTTTCAGAGCTTTAATGTTATGAATATACATAGAAATATGCCAACATAATCTAAGTGTGTACTTACTTCACAATGTTTATGTTTTCTACAGGCTTTATGCCTAAATATATGTGACCAGGTGTTTTAGCGAAAACGATTACATTTGAAGGTTTTGATTGCATCTTTTCAATGGTAACATTGTCTACAGGACGAATAACAAAGTTCTTTGCTTCTTTAGGGGATATTGGAGAGCCATTCTGATCCCAGTATTGAAATTCAAGATATACATCATGTTCTACTGTACGGCTGAACATAGTTTATAAACACCAAAAACTATTAGTAATAACAAGTGTAGATAACTAAAGTTGACAGTTAGCAAATCACAGAACAGCAGTAAAATTCTGAAGACAAACAAGATATATTTATATTGATAGTTGCTACCTCAATATTCATTGTACAAGATACTAGCTGATATTTAAACAGTTATCAAGTTAACAAACCGGTCTGTATATTTTGTTCCGTCCCAGGGAATATAAAGCCCCATAAAAGGTAGAAACTCTGCGTAAGTACAGGGCAGTTTTTACAAAATATAATGCCAAGTTAACTAAGGCTCATGCCGAAAGTGGAATAATGTTTGATTCCATGTAACTCTGCAAATGCACGAAGCTTATTTTGCTCAAGTTTATTAGCTAAAATTACTAATTTGTGCAAGGAATTTCAATTCTAAATAAATTAAATTTCATCTTCTTTGATGTACACTTGGACTTACTACCCGAAATCAGAATGATTCAAGTAATTTGATTGAAACAATTTAGTAGCACTTAAATTATCAATATAAAACCATAGGTTAGGCATTTGTATAAAAAACAGCATTTTTTCACCATATATTTCAACAGATCGTTCGCCCGACCACTTTTAAGAGTTAAAAATACTAAAAATATAGAATATAAAATTATCATGAAAGACTAGGCATGAATAAAAAATAAAATTACCACTAACTTTAATTCTATGCCTATTATTTGGTATTCACCTGACTGAAGATAAACTGATTTTGGTTTAAAAAAGACTTCAACTGCATTCTCAAGATATACAACTTCCAAAATGAAGGAAAAGTACGAAACGAAAAACAACAAACGCTTAAGCATTATGATTTCATAAGTGTGACAGAGATTAGGTAAAACCTATATTGTTAACTAGGGCATATAAACAAAATAAATTGGACCCATATAGCGGTCAAAATCGTCTATAAACATCAGATAAAATTTAAGAATTTCGAGATGATTTACTTCTATTATACCAATTTTAATGGCTATGATGTTCGCTCATTTGTGTTTTCGCATCACAAGTAAACAGATACTAAGCTCTCTACCTAGTTCTGAGGTTGGGATAGATAATTATAACTGTATCAATCAGCCTGAACCTCATTCATCTGTTAAACTTCCACTGCTTGCTTGAGGTGCAAAGATGAAAACACGGCGGAAGAATTTCCTTACACAGCTCACCTACACTCATAAAAATAATTTCTGCAAACACTACATTGCTTTCCAAGTGGGTACGCTATTTTCATTTACAGATATCTTTCATTCTTCCAGTTATCTGGCACTGATCTCATTTCACAATGATGATGCATGAAATAAATGATTCCACAATTATTGTGTTGAAATCATGACCGTCACTTTAAACTCAAAATGGGCAAGTTATATGGGTAATTAAAGGCAGATGAAAAGTAAAGAAGAACAATATCAGTTCATCTGTCTGACATTCTTTTCTATTTTCTTTACTTATGACAAAAAAATGTCATATACAGAAACGATGCAGCACATATGGACTAACTAGGGTGAGCGAATTGATCCTTAAGAACTGAAGGAAATCACAGTCAAAAAAGCTAATCTATTGTCATCATTAGCTACGAAGGAAGGAAAAGGAGTGAATTTTCGTTTAACTATAACATTTTCGTTTGTCAGGAAGATTCAGATAGGCTAAATAAATAGCTTGACAGTAAGTCTTTAGTTTTAATATGCATAGTCGCCCTCAACATGTTTTCCGCTTGGTACCGTTTCCGAGTAGTTAAGTTGATTTTCAGAAGTCTGGATCAGTCAGACGGAGTAGTTACCTTAACAGAAATCTCGGGTCACAAGACTTTGAGTACTTCTATATACCAATCAAGTTCTTCCAGATCTCTTGTAGGAATGAAGAAGACGTGATAGACCAGATGAAATAGATGTATTAGTTGAGGATTTCGTGGTAACGAAAAAAACCTCAGTGTACCAGAAGATAAGCAAAGGTACAAAGCAACCAGAGCAAGATGGCAACCGGAAAGAGGAGAGTGCGTGACCGTAGTGTTATGTCAGTATACATACAAAAATGACAAATTTCACTGTGCAAAATAACAGTAAGAACAAATAAATATTCAGTAAACCGTTCACAGTTGCAAGTGATTTAGATAACGAATGTCACTATCGTTGAATCCAGACGGAGATTTGGAGTAACTACGACTCTCTTAAGGTAGCCAAATGCCTCGTCATCTAACTGAATGGGATATTATGTGAATCGCATAAATGAAGCCGTTTAAGGTTTGTAGTGGTCCCGCTAGGCAACGTGGCTCTGTTTACAACGCTGAAGCTAAAAGCCGTTCCGAACGCTTAGGATGCTGTGCATAGCATGGCCCAGAATAATGGCACGTGTACATGGTCAACAGGCCGTGGATGCGGTTTTGCCACTCTAGGGGATTAGGAATGAAAGTCTTTAAGTCTGAATCCCGTACATTGAGCGTAGTTAAATTTTAAAATAATGGGATATAGCTTTCCAGCGTTCTTAAAGGAGGCCCTAGACGATTTGTTTGGGGAAGTAGCCGTAAAGATACTGGACTATTGACGCCGACCCTCTGTGGTTGTCCTAAACACTCCGCATCTCGGTGTAACATGTTTGTTATTTGAGAATAAATTATTATTATTATTATTGTGTCAGTTGACGTCCAGGCCTCTTAAACAAGGATCTCCAGTTGGTTTATGTGATCCAGTGCTGAAAAGGTACTGGACGCCAATTATTTCTGTTCACTGATTTGCAGCAGGCTGGCTGGTTAAACAAGAATATTTTGGATTTAGAAATAAGTGTTCAGGAAGTTTAGATACTCCTCCTTGCCAAGTTTAATTTCAAAACAAATGATCTGGGTAGGTAGCAGTTCTATTATTAATCAGAAATATAAATACACGTCATTACCTAAGCAATTTTACAACTGTCATTCCTTCTGTAATAACACAAAGTGTTTCCGATTCTGGGAGAATGCTCCAATTTCCGATGCAAATCGCACACTCCCAATCCGTGTCCGTGCTCCAACAGCCAAAGGGGCAAAATCAATATGGCTGTCGCCATAATTAAGTATCAATTTGAACAACATAATGCAGTTCGGAAGGAAACGTAGAAACTCAAAAATGGCACAAAAAATAGAAACTATGACAATATACGAACACTAACATCCCAAAGTGGAATTCAACAGATTACCAAAATATAGAACCGAACGAATAAATAAGAACATGTTGCAAATGTATACATGGAGGGAGTTTCCCAAACAAAGCCTTTCAAAGTGGATTCTACAACTATTGATTCAGTCGTATTTTTCTTCTCATGATTTAAATCACTTCAACCTGCTATTCGATATCACTCGGAATAGAGAGGCCAAAAAAGGACAACTTTGTCCTCATATTACAAAGTGATGAAAATTAAGATGTACACAGAACAAGTTACCCAATAGGCTGAAACAACTAAAAGTATCAAGTTTGAATGGACTACGATAAAATCCATAAGTACGTATTGCATTAAATGCGAGGGATGGTTGATTATCTACCGGCTAAAGGAGATCATAAAAAGACTGAAAGTGAACAATTAAAATAGATTGGAAAGATTTTTAGAAGTCAGAACTGAATGAAACAATTGTTTAGTCGATGTTGCATGAAGCGGTTGCGTCTATGAAACATGTCGTCAGCGAGAATATTAAGGCAAAACATTGATCAGACAAGGTTGAGGAACAAATAATAATCAATGTTAATCGGCGCTGATATAAGATGAGAACTATTTGCTTTTTAAATCCGAAGGCATATCCAAATAATCGTTTGCTTGAGTCTATAGTAAAACTAAGGGTATTTCCCGCATAACCTTCATACAAGCCTCGAAACCAAATATTGAGATGGATCTAGAATCTATTTTATGGTCATTGCTTATCATTCAAAGCCATTGTTTCTTTATGAGTTCAAGAGCTCTAAGTGAGTGAGTATAGTAGTGATTGACAATGATCACCACCAAATACTAATCACTAACCCGTCACTGAGAAGATATATAAATCCTGGGCAAAGAATATATTTGCTGGCGATTTCGCGGTTTCGGAAGAACACCGGAATTACACCAGAAAAGTGGGCGAAATTGAAGAGCAGCGACAACAAAGATGGCGGCAACACAATTAATAATAATAATTTATTCTTAAATAACGAACATGTTACAAGAGGCATGCCAATTTACAGGCAAGATAAAAATGCTAAGATTGGCAACATATTCCTTCTAAAACAGTGTACAGTAACTGAAATATTTCATAAGATACATTGTCTTTATTTAGATGGCTACATACTCAGGCGCTTACAGTATGACTTAGAGGTTGGCATTCAATAATAAAGAAAAAAAAAATAGTTAGACAGTGCGAGATTTTATTCGTCAAATATTTATTTTTTACAAACTCTACTCTTTTAACTAGAATTTCGATTTCAACGTACATAAATCCAGCTTCTTACTTCGACTTCTCTTCTATCCACCTGACACTGCACAACCCTCCCTTCTTTTTGCTGTACTCCTTTATCTGTGTGTTATATTCTTATATTCCCATAATTTACTTTAATTTAAGTGGTCAGTATGAATGTTATCTTGACTTACTACTGTATTGACTACTTTAACATGACAGGTTAAGTAGTGCTTTGGTTATATATATACACTTGCCACACTGCTGCCTTTTCCTCTCTCTCTTCTCCTTTTCAGAACCCCATTCACGGTGGGAAATCTTTGGCAACTCTAGGGAACATGCACCCAATGTACATGACTGTCGGGATCACAGCTCGTATCAAGCGCGTTCCATATGACCTTTCCCAACAAATTCACGATTGATCTCGGCCAATCGCCAATAGAACCTATTATGCACCTTCCTCATTTGTACTCTAATATTGAAAATGTGGCTGTATAATACTGTTTCTGTCAGTGATATGGTGTAAATATGCAATCAGAAACTGTCTCTTATACTTAATTTAACTGCTATAACTTTTACAGTAATCGTGAAAGCATTTGTGACAATTTGATCTAGCCTGTAAACTGGCGTGTCTCTTGTAACTTAGTTATTTGAGAATAAATTATTATTATTATTATTAGTACACTCTCTATTTTTTGTACAGCTTGTTGGAATTCACTTTTTCTACTAGCTCCACGTTACAAGCAATCCAGCCAACTTTGTCTTCTGTATGAAAGACAAAATATCCACGTAGCATGCCAGACTGAGTTTAAGTAAACTAATGGTATAAATTGTACGATATGTATCAGTTATTAGGTAGTTTGGAGATAGGAAGGACAGTGAGCTGGAAAAAGAAGAAAGAAAAAAACAGTTGAAATAATGTTAAAAATTATTGAGAAAAGCGATATGTTGGTAAGCAGGCAAGGTGTCTGAATGCTAATGAAATGGGGAAATAAAAATTTATTAAAATGGCAATACTTAAACAAGAAGAAACTCACAATGCTACAGGGAGTTTGAGCTTCTTGTAATTGACAGCAGTTGATCAGCATCTACAGGCTTTTCAGTTTGTCTGTTTACTAGAATTAAAAACTAAAACTGCTTTGAAGATATGAAAATAATGATTGGAATTTAAATTTAGAGAAAAGTCACGGATAGCGTCCTTAAAGGCGTAACCTATTACTGATTGTAGGAGCAGGAGGATTTGTCTATGATTTCATGATACCTGTATGGATGGTTATGTGGGATCGATATGTTCATAGTCTGTAATTAGTTTCTAAGGTTTATCTAAATATTTGGTGGACCATAAAAGAGTGCCTCGGGACTTGGTGTGGGTTCCGGGTATGGGCGACAAATCTCTTTAGACTCTAACAACAGCATTACTAGTCTCTTGAACTTAGTAATTGTGTCACAGATACGAATAGTAATT